CGACTTCATAATACTATCACATGTAACTTAAATCTAAGATTTGAATCAAATATAACACCTAGATTCTTAGCATTATCAAACAATCGAATATTAGTGTCGTTGATAAATAAGGAGACTCGATTTGTGATATTGTATACTAAGTCACATATAAATCCGAACACCCAGTTTAAATGGTTTTGTTTTAATAAAATTTAGTACTTAATGAAGCATAATAAGTAAATGATAAAAATTTCAAAATGATTGCACTGCTTTAAAGCCCTTTGACCTTTAATAATGTGTGGATGCACCCTGATGTGCTACGCATTCTCCAACGCGCCTAGGCATGCTTCTGATCAGGTGGTCAATATCCTCCTGTGGTATCTCATTCCAGGCAACCACCAACTCCTCTCGAAGTGCTTCTAGAGTCTGAGGAGGACGTTGCAAATTGAGCAATCTCCTACCCATCATATCCCACACGTGCTCAATTGGGGATAAGTCGGGAGATCTTGGTGGCCATGGTAACAATGTGACATCATTATGTTGAAAGAAGTCTATTGTGCCTCTTGCAAAATGTGCTCGGGCATTATCTTGTTGGAAAGTTGGATCTGCCAGGGTGTCAAGTTAGGGTAAAAGATGGGGTTCTAGAACTTCGTGGATATAACGCTGCGCGTTCATGTTACCTCTGATGAAGATTAAAGGTGACCTGGAACCATAAGCTATAGCAAACCAAACCATAACTCCAACAGTGTGATGAACATGTCTTTCAACAAAAAACTGTGGATTCCTCCTTTCACCACGTCGCCTTCTAACCCTGGCACGACCATCGTGCATGCCTAAACAAAATCGAGACTCGTCACTAAAGACAATACTGTTCCATTCCTGATCCCAGAGTGACCGTTGTCTGCACCACTCAATGCGATTACGTCGGTGTTCCTGAGTTAAAGGGAGGATCCAGTGTGGCCGGTATGAAAACAAGCCAAAACTTCTCATTCGTCGGTAAACACTTCGCATGCCAATAGGTCTTCCGTGTTCTGCAAACCATTCATTTGCAATGGACCTGGTAGTGGAGAAACGGTCCCTTAAGGCCAATAATCTTAGGCGGCGATCTTCACGGTCTGTTGTTCTACGGCGGCGTCCAGTGCCCCTTGCTCTTTGCGTACGGCCTTCTCGAAGCCATGCCTGACAACACCTAACCACAGTGTCTACACTTCTTTGCACTCTAACTGCAATTGCCCGAAAAGAAGGTCCAGCTTCCCGAAGTCCCACTATACGGCCCCTATCAAACTCACTAAGTTGACGAAATCGTACAGGTCTCCGTACTCTAGGCATCGTAACCGATCGTAAATAATGTCAAGAACCAAAATCCGCCAACGTTGATTCTTTACTGCGGCTGAAATATTCATTTTTAGAGCGTTAGTGAATTAAAAAAAAGCAGTACAAAAACCGGAATGTCCAACTGATAAGGCTGAACATTTTTTCACTTGTTATTTACAGTAAGATAAATACATTCACAAACTTTTATTAAAACAAAATCATTTAAACTGGGTGTTCGGATTTATATGTCACTTAGTATAATTTGAATGTTCAGGACAGTATGGTATCGCGGTACATTTTGATGGATTGATACGGAGACAGTGTCTACTACAATACGTTAATACGTTATCAAGATCTAGGCTAATTTTATACGATGCTTCATGTAAGTTGGATTCATTGAAACGAAATGTTAGTTGTGTATCGTCAGCATACATTTGAATGCAACAATGTTCAACACACTCATTTAGATCGAATGTCTATACTAGGAATAAAAGAGGTCCCAGTACTGAACCCTGTGGAACTCCTGATGACACATACCGTGCATCAGAACTTCCTCTAGATGTTTTCACTTTTTGGGTGCGATCAGTTAGGTACGATCTGAAGAAATTCAAAGGAACTTCTGACATGCCATAATATTTTAGCTTACTCAAAAGTATCTCATGATTGACCGTATCGCAAGCTTTGGAAAAATCAAGCATTACCAACAGCGTGCCGGGTTTGTTGTCAAGGTTGTAAAGCATCTCATCTGCAAGATGTAGTAGGGCAGTAGTCGTACTGAGACCTTCACGAAAACCAGATTGGTGTACTGGAAAGAGATTAGTATTAACAAAATACTAAACAAGCTGTTGGTATTCTATCTTCTCGAAAACATTCGACAGAAAACATAAACCACTTGGGTCTAAAATCGAAATGTTCAGACGGATTATTATTTTTGGCCAGAGGTGTGGCCATAGCCTCGTTCCAGTTGAATGAGAAAACGCCTCTCTCTAAGCAAGTATTAATAATATGCGTGATGTGATCAAGTATTTCAGGCAGGCATAAGCCTAGCATAGTTAGAGAGATGCCATCACAACTCGCTGCTTCAGACTTGATAGACAAGTCTGCATCCATAACTTCTCGAGGGGTGGGTGAACGGTTCCAGGCCACTGACTATCTACACTTGTAATCACTTCATTTGCATTGCAAGTTACTTGACATTCATATTCACAAATCCTTTTCTATTGTGTGTTCGTCACCAAAATCTGAAAGTATTTTGATTTGGACAGTCTAATGCACCGATGACAGTAGTAACAGTAGTAGCAAATCAATTTGACGATTTTCTTCTTGCTTCTCCCATTCTCTCCAGGTCAGACGAGAACTTTACCCACTGATGAACTTTTTCAACTAGCCTGACAGCAGCATAATCTATAGTTTTACCAGGGATGTCTTTTAAGTTTTGCATATAGAAACATCGTAGGCCGCGCGGATCGAACGTCAGTACTGAATCTTAACCTCACTCTTTAGTAAACTTAAATTCAAAGTTTCACAACAATACGTGCAGTGTTCTTACAACAGTGAATTTTTAAGTGTCACCAAGTCATTAGAAAAATGGAACTCAACCGAGAACATTTTCGCGCCATAATTTATTACAACTTTCAGAGACAATTATCGCAACAAGAATGCCTTGCTGAGTTACTGTCTGTTTTCGGCAACGAAGCGCCACATCAATCAACAATTTCCCGTTGGTATGGAGAATTCAAACGTGGACGGGTGAGTCTTAGCGACGATCCCAGGGTGGGTGCACCAAAAACGGCAGTCACCCAGGAAAACGTCGACGCTGTGCGTAAACTCATCATTGACGATAGACATGTAACATATCGCGAGATTGAGGCGTCCTTGAAGATCTCAAAGACCTCAATTCGAAAAATTTCACATGAAGAATTAGGAGTAAGAAAACTAGTTTCTCGTTCGATACCCCACCTGTTGACTGAAGAGCAGAAAGCAGTCAGGGTTAATTGGTGTCAAAAAACGCTTGACCGTTTCAATTCGGAAACTCAAAAAATGTGTACAGCATTGTTAATGGTGATGAATCGTGGATTTACTGTTATGAACCAGAAAATAAACGACAGTCGGCTGTTTGGGTGTTCCAAGTTGAAGAAAAGCCAACAAAAGTCATCCGTTCGAAAAATATGGTCGCGACATTTGTGTCAAAAGCGGGTCATATTGCAACAATTCCTCTTAATGAGCAAAGAACTATTACTGCGGATTGGTATACCACCATTTGTTTGCCAAAAGTCATCACCGAGCTTCGAAAAATCAACCCCGAAAGAAGAATCATCCTCCACCAAGACAATGCAAGCTCTCAGAGAGCCCAAAAAACAAGGCAGTATTTAACGGAAGAAATCGTGGAATTATGGGACCATCCTCCATATAGTCCCGAGCTAAGTTCTAACGATTTCTTTACTTTCCCGAAAATTAAAAACAGACTGCGTGGTCAAAGGTTCCAGTCACCAGAAGAAGCAGTTGACGCATTCAAAAATGCCGTTTTGGATCTGCCAGCAAACGAGTGGAATAAGTGCTTCGAAAATTGGTTCGAGCGCATGCAGATGTGGAGAATACTTCGAAAAATAATAAAGTCATTTAAAACTACCTACCGTGTTGTTTTATTTCCATATGTAAAACTTAAAAGACATCCGTCGTACATACTGTCGAATGCTGAACGCCGAAATCTTCAGCATTACCTGTTTGAAATCCAGTATCACTAATATACAGCAGAAAAATATCCATTCTTTGTCGTGAGGTAAGTGCACATCCTCTAGTTTCAACCGTATGCGGTGAAAAATGTTCTGATAAATAGTCTACAGTTTCGCTTTAAAAACGCAATAAAACCTTAGATTTGCTACGACTTACATTTGTACATTGAACATTTATTCGGTTTGTCATTATTAAAATTATGCTTCTCTGATAAAAGTATGCGTTGGAGATACCTTAACAGACAATAAGTTAATTCTTACTGATTTCAAGGTATTCTTATTATTCAACTAAAAAGAAGGAAGTACTCGAAAAACCTGAGTGAAGTTTCATATTTCAAGAAATAACTTGAAATTGAATGACTTTACTTAATACTATGAGTAGACTCTTCTTTATGAAGTAGTTACTGACTCTTTATTCAAAGCTTATCAAATAAATACTCAAAGAACAGGAAGTATAAGCAAATACTTTTTTTTGTTTAATAGACGCAAGGCTGGATATTACTTTAAAATGAAATAGGCCTGAAATACTCTTTGGAAGCTTTTAGGGGAAGCCGTGAGTTATCATTTAGACATCGACCTCAAAATAATAATTTTTAACAAGGCTTCTTAGCATTGAAGACGGCAATTTTCATGCATTGCATCACATAACTCGGAAACGTTCAAAACAAGAGATATTTTACTTTGTTCAGAATGTTCTGGAAAACATAAACGAAGTTTGTTCTGCGCTATATACGTTTTTTGGAATTAGTTTAAAGAATTGGTTTTTGCCTCATCCGTTATCCCAGTGTTTGTCCAAAAATGATCACACAAAAATGTGCTATTAAAGCTACAATTTAAATTATACAGTACAGATGGTGACAGTAGCTAGTAATTATTTTGGATATTTTTTACGTTACTCGACAGGCTAACACATAACGAAGATTTGACTTTTTCAGATTTTAAAGTGTGTATTGCTTTCACTCATTGAGATAAGATGGACAATTTAGGGTAAATGCAATCCCAGACTATACTTAAGTATGGGTAAAAGTAAAAAATCACCTAGGATATTGTCGAGATCTCCTTCCAAACACTTAATCATATTATTGTTGATCCTCAACGTATAAATGCTGATCCCATTCAGTGTGCTATTTCCAATATCCTCAATCAAATTGTTATCCAAGGCCAATTTGATAATGGTTTTTATGCCCCGGAAGGCATTTGTATCGATTTTGGATATTCTGTTATGGCTGAACACCAGAGCTATGGGCAGATCTCCCGCCAAATTGCTGAAAGAGAACTCCGGAAGGGTTTTGATGGTATTGTTTTGTATCAGAATCTGCATCAGCATATCGTTGTTTTTGAACCAATTAACGTTCCAGGTTGAGATTGAGTTGTGTGACAGGTTAATAGTTAAGAGACTTTGCATTTGGTGAAAGGCGGAATCTGATATCGTAGAGAGGCCATTTTGGCTCAAGTCGAGACCTTTGAGGCTCAATCCGGTCAAGACGTCGCTTCTTAGTTCCTTTATGTTGTTTCCTGAAACAATGAAATACTTCAAGTGACGGTAGCATTTAATTATAAACAAGGAAAAGTCTGAAATGTGCATAATATGTATCAAAACTGATAAATTAACCTAACTAGCACAAAACTGAACATATTTTACAAGAAATTGTAAAGATGGAGTCTATAGTGGAAGTATATAGGGAACACTAAATTTATTCGACGACTTGAGTTCAATGTGTATGAGTGAGAAGCGCGAAAACTGTGTAGCAGCACATGCCAGAAAGAGATAGGAGCCTTATGAAAAGGCGAAGGTCATCACCACATACCTAGCAACAGCGACACACAAGGTCGTGCAATTTGCTGCGTTGCCAATATGTTACACCCGAGAGTGCTTGCACAGGCTTCTATACACACACAAACACACACACCCTCCTTCCCTGTGCGGTTCCTCCACCACCCTGTTTCAGGCAACCTCAAACCCTTGAGGAGTGGGCGGAAGAGCAATCTGCTCCTCCCTCAAATTATGTTTGATTTCCACCCATAGTGATGAAATCACTACACATCCGGCTCCTATCTCTTTCTAACATATGTATCTATACACACTTCTCTCTCGTACACATTGAACTCAAGCCGTCAGCAAATTTGGTTCTCAGTGTATACTTAAGAGTAAATGGAGAGTTCTCCATCTAGAGATATGAGAACTTTTGCTATTTTTTTTTTCTAAAAACGTCAAAGGCAAAAGGATCAATTCACTCATACATTGAAAAATTAGGTATTCATGAAAGGGATTCAACGGGAAGATTTTGGGACGCAGCGACTATCAGCGGCTCATCAGAAAATACCATTCACATCTTCAATAAATACAATACTAAAATATATTTTTTTAAAAAACTTCTAATAAAATTAACTGAAAATTTAAAAATAATTTGTTCCGATTGAAAATATCCTAACGATAACAAAGCTCCTTCATCTCAAGTTTTCAAAGAAATGCCTACTGCTGTCAAAACGTAAGACACTTTTATTTGAAAACTTAGGATGAATCAGCCTCATTATCGTTCAAATATATCTAATCTAATAATCTTATTTCTTAATTTTTGCTTCATTTTATTAACATCTAAATAGAATATTGTTTTTAAAAATGTATTTTTCATTTCATTTATTTTCCACTTTTTAGCATCTATGCTATGAAATGACTAGTTTGATAGTTTCCACATAATGTTCATTCATTTCTCTATTGAGATATTGTGACGATCGGCATATTAAATTTAGAATGACGTTATTTGCTTATTGTGTCTCTCTCAATAAGCCCTTTTATTTGATACCCATATCATGAAGTGACTGTGAAAAATATAAATCGCCATTTTACAGCGGTTGTCACATTGGATTTAGAATGACGTCACTTTGCCTATTGTGTTTCTCTCATCCAGCCCTTCCATTTTATATCCTTCTCATAGAGGTGGCTGTGAAAAGTGAAAATCGTGATTTATAACTTGTGTTTCTGCACGACTAGAGATAGATAAATAAACTGCGTAAGAGATACACGTTTTCATATGAATGTTAAGTGGTGACACGAACAATTAATTTAGTATTAGATAGGGATTACTAATTAGGGTGATAATCTGCATGTCTTTTTTCGAAGATAATGCTCACTGACCAAACGAACAGATTGCTGCGTTTTCTACGGAATTATAGAAAATATATTTTCCGTTACAAAAACTGATAAATTAACCTAACGATAGCACAATACATTAAAACATTTTACAAGAAATTGTAAAGATGGAGTCTATAGTGGAAGTATATAGGGAACACCAAATTTATTTGACGACTTGAGTTCAATGTGTGTGAGAGAGAAGCGCGAAAGCTGTGTACCAGCACATGCCAGAAAGAGATAGGAGCCGTATGAAAAGGCGAAGGTCATCACCACATACCTAGCAACGGTGACACACAAGGTCGTGCAATATGCTGCGTTACACCCGAGAGTGCTTGCACAGGCTTCTACACACACACACAAACACACAGACCCTCCTACCCTGTGCGGTCCCTCCACCACCCCTGTTTCAGGCAACCTCAAACCCTTGAGGAGTGCGGGGAAAAGCAATCTGCTCCTCCCTCAAATTATGTTTGATTTCCACCCATAGTGATGAAATCAACACATCCGGCTCCTATCTCTTTCTAACATATGTATCTATCTATACACACTTCTCTCTCGTACACATTGAACTCAAGCCGTCAGACAAATTTGGTTCTCAGTGTATACTTGAGAGTAAATAGAGAGTTCTCCTTCTAGGAATATGAGAGCTTTTGCTATTTTTTTTTCTAAAAACGTCAAAGGCAAAAGGATCAATTCACTCATACATTGAAAAATTAGGTATTCGTGAAAGTGATTCAACGTGAAGCTTTTGGGACACAGCGACTATCAGCGACTCATCAGAAAATACCATTCACATCTTCAATAGATAAAATACTAAAATACATTTTTTAAAAAAACTTCTAATAAAATTCACTGAAAATTTAAAAATAATTTATTCCGATTGGAAATATCCTAACGATAACAAAGCTCCTTCATCTCAAGTTTTTAAAGAAATGCCTACTGCTGTCAAAACGTAAGACACTTTTATTTGAAAACTTGAGATGAATCAGCCTCATTATCGTTCAAATATATCTAATCTAAAATTCTTATTTTTTAATTTTTACTTCATTTTATTAACATCTAAATAGAATGTTGTTTTTAAAAATGTATTTTTCATTTAATTTATTTTCCACTTTTTAGCATCTATGCTATCAAATGACTAGTTTGATAGTTTTCACATAATGTTCATTCATTTCTCTATTCAGATATTGTGACGATCGGCATATTAAATTTAGAATGACGTTATTTGCTTATTGTGTCTTTCTCAATAAGCCCTTTTATCCCATATCATGAAGTGACTGTGAAAAATATAAATCGCCATTTTACAGCTGTTGTCATATTGGATTTAGAATGATGCCACTTTGCTTATTGTGTTTCTCTCATCCAGCCCTTCCATTTTATAACCATATCATAGAGGTGGCTGTGAAAAGTGTAAATCGTGATTTATAACTTGTGTTTCTGCACGACTAGAGATAGATGAATAAACTTCGTAAGAGATACACGTATTCATATGAACGTTAAGTGATGACACGAACAATTAATTTAGTATTTGATAGGGATTACTAATTGGGGTGATAATCTGCATGTCTTTTTTCGAAGATAATGCTTACTGACCACACGAACAGATTGCTGCTTTTTCTACGGAATTATAGAAAATATATTTCCTGTTACGAAATTTTCAATAAAAAATAAGTTTGGAAGGTTATAATTTTCTTGGAATAACAAATCAACCGCAGTAGTAAATTGAACATACAAGCCCTCGTTTTGAAGATCTTCTCAGCCTTTAGAACTTCATTTTTTACCACGTTTATCGGTACTTAAAATTTGTTTGCATATATGCGAGAATATGATTGCTTTCACCTTTAATGAAATAAAATTACTCGCTTATTGTAGTTTTCTCAATGCAGACGTTGCAACAGTCATTGGCTTGGTTCGCCAAGAACACCAAAATGACAAAAACAATTGAATACTTCAGATTTTAGTTATTGATTTCTTTAAATAACTTACCTTTCAGAGACATAACGCTGCACGTCAAGTTCCTAAAAGCACCTGGCTGGATCTCGTGAACATTGCTAAATTCAATTGAAAGCGTATCCAATATCACCAAATCTGCTAGAGATCCATTGTGAAGCGTGGGGACATTTTGACCTTTCAAAATAATACTGTGGAAATGCTCGCTTCTGGGATGTTCTTTCGACAAAAAATCGTTCAAACTACCAGCCGATTCAACGGTCAAATTGGTACCACTGTTTTCCCCGAACCGTCGTATAAAAATATAAGTATTTTTGAATGTTGCGTGGTCACAAAAACACAATTGCAATATCCCGAGAATGAGTATTCTTAGAAGCATTTCTATTAAAATGTTCACTACGCACTAGAGATGTTTAGGATAATGATGAAGGTAAAAATTCGTTGAAAGGTTATCAAGTTATTGATTTTGACCTAATACATAATAGATAAAATTTAACGTAGCTCGAATGCAACCAGTGTGAAATATATCCAGAAACATAAATATTCAGTGCAGTAATTGGAGGAAGAACAATTTGTAAAACTTGGAGTGATGGAGAAATGCTTTAGATACGCGTTCTTCTGCTTCTGCTATCTGGGATCATCGGTGAGCGTGCCGGTCTTGGCGAGTGCTCTGACCTCACTGCCACGTTGCCGCGTTTGACGTATTGTGTGGTCAGGTATCGAAATGAGGCGTCGTGGCAGATGGACAAAGAAAGCATGTCTACAGGGTGTTTCAAATTCGACCCTCACCGTTGGGATCTCGGAAACTGTAAGAGATACGAAGTTGCTTAAATGTTTTCCAAAATCGATTTAATTTTTTCGTGACTTTATTTGTGGCGACATGCTCAAAATAAACTGCAGGTTTACATTGCCACTTTTTCTCCTCTACAATATGTCACTATGACGTTTCACCTCTTGTCCCAAAGCTTCAACTTTTTCTTTCTTATTGACGCCATTTTAGATTTTTACACGGTTGAATAGAGTTCTTAATTCTGATTCCAAAAATATATAAACACGTCATATATAGACGTTGCCAAACCGTAGTTATTTCAAAAAAAGCAGAATTTCCTAGATCTCGATATTATCAAATAGTCGTTTATTTGGCATACCAGACTCGCAAAATTATTTGGGATGGGGTTCCAAAATACATGACATGTTAACATTGCCACTACTTCTCCTCTATAAGATAGCATAATTAAATTTTCATTTTATGTCCTCCAGCATTAACTTTATTTTTTCTTATAGATGCCATATTGGATTTTTGTACAGATGAAGAGAGTTAATAATTCTGATTAAAAAAATAAGTGATACATTGACATTGTCAAACCGTTATTATTCCAGAGAAAAAGAAGTTTCTAGGTAGGCCTTGGAAATATCAAATTTCATTTGTTTCGTATCCCAGATCAGACCTCAAATTGAACATAACAACAGAGTTTGGAAGACTGAGAAGAACAGAAATAAATGAGCAGTAAACAACGTATACAGGAGAGTCAGGCTTTGCTTACAAAATAGCTGACAACATTTCGAACATTGTTTATGATTTAGCTATGCTTATTTATGATTATTATTATTATTATTATTATTGTTATTATTATTATTACCATATAAAAAACGTTCATTTTGTGTTCAGATTTCACCATACCTTCTTTTTTCCATATAGTTTTCACCCAACAACACATTCATGGGCCACTAATTACACTGAATTTAGAACTGAAAAGTCCATTTACATGTACTAGATTCCAAGATAGCGTCCACATGAGAAAACAAAGTTGGTGATGCAAGTTAAAGGACGGAATGTCGAATTGAAAAGTTGACTACGCCGTGTTGTAGAGGAGAATAACTAACAATGACAACTTGCAATTAATTTTGAAATCCCATATAGGAGTGGAAATTGACACAAAATTAAGATTCCGCAGCCAAATAGCTAATTTGATGAAAAAAACTTACCTGTGTTGTCGTTTATTATCCATGTTTGGATCAATTGACCAAAAATCGTCTTCAAATCATCCAAAATAACTGTGTTCGCTTTATTTATGGGTTGCGTAAATACGATCACGTAAGTGATAAATGTAGGGAATTGAACTGGCTTAGGTTAGGAAGTTTGGTTAAACATACATTCTTAGTTTTAGTTCATAAAATAATATTGTCATCAAAGCCTGAATATCTAAGAGCTAAGTTAAGATTTAATTACGAAGTGCATGTCAGGGCTGTTAGGAATCGTTATAGTACCAGAACCACCCCACACACTTCTACATTATTCCAACGAGGATTTACATATAATGCAGCAGTATTTTATAATCAGTTGGACAACAGTATCAAATTGATGTCTTTGGAAAGTTTTCATAAACATACTAAAAGCATGTTGCTCGCTATTGATTAAATACGCATTTCTGCTACAGATATAGATTGCGTCTATTTGTATTTTATACTTAGGTATATATGTGTTATTTTTTTCATTGTTCTTATATATTTTTTTCCCATGTTTTGAACATCAGATGTAACCGACATAAACAGTTAAGTGTAAGAGTAGCCTTGGCTAAACTTCACTGTTTATGTCCCTCCGGGTTATCCAATAAAGACGTTATTATTATTATTATTATTAAATAAGGTCAGGAAAAAATAGAAGTGGTTTTGGGAAAAGTCTGGTTGGTATGCGATACAAACGACTATCTGATAATTTCAAGGCCTACCTAGAAAATCCTGTCAATGTCAATCTATGACGTATTATACATTTTTGGAATCAGAATTAAAAACTCTATTAATCTGTGCAAAAACGTCATATTGAAATTCTAATCATGCCGTCTTGTAGAGGAGAAAAGGTCGTAATGTTAGTGTGTAATTTATTTTGAAATCGCACTCCAAATGAACTCAGGAGAAAATTTAAACGGTTTTCGGAAAATTCCTTTTTTTCCGCGTCTCTCCGAAAGTACTTTGAATTTCGAAACTTTCTAAGCGGCATTTTGTTAATTATGCTCGAATTTGAAACACCCTATATAGACTAGCTGTGCATGCTTGTTTGACTGACTTGATCTCTTCAGTTTCTCTCCTGTACATGCTCCTATCACTAACTTTTCTCTATGAGGGTCTAACTTGTGTTTAACTGATAACCGTGTTGTGTAGAAAGTGCAGAGTCAACCTACTTTACCATTTTTTTTTGTTACAGGATCATGCCATAGATATTGCTCTCTAAAATAAAAGCACGCGATAATGGGGTTGCGTGATGTTAAAACAGTATTTTATCTAATACAATAAGGAAACTTAGTAAAAAAAGAATATGGGAAACATAACGCTGCTGTACCATGATAAATCAAAAATATAAACAATCTATTATCATTTCCGATAACAATAAGGTTATCTGGGGAGGCTTGCTACTTTGCTGTCAATCAGCAGAATTTCAAAATGAATCTTCAGTTGTTTTTCTACTAGCAAAGATGCAATTATATTATCATTGCTTGCTATACTTACTAATAATAACATCATATGCAGTGCGTTGTGAAAAAGTAACCTTCAAAAATGTAACCTTTAAAGGTTATAGCTTGTACACAGAAAAATTCAAGAAAACGATTTCTTCGGGGAGCAGTTTGAAGGATTATCTGCCTGAAACTACGTTTGATGGGATAGAGTTCAAGGACCAGAATATACCTGTGCTATACAAGGATTCATTGGCAGACCTTCATGGACTGGATGAACTGAAAATCGAATCTTGTGGTGTGGAAGAGGTACAACCTGGTTCAATAAGAAATGCACCAAATTTGTTTTGGTTAAGTCTAAAAGGTGAGACACTCTATTACAATCATGTTGTCAACTTTTGATTCTCAAAAAATTATAAATTTTATGTCAAATCCTTAGTTTTTATTCTAGCCACAGAGATAGTATATTACATACCTGGTCCCAAAAATGGGCTAATAAAAATGGCCTTCACAAACGAGATATATACAGGGTGTACGCAAAATAGACGGAAATGCAGGGTTTCCAAGATACGCGGTAATACATTCTTTTTTATTAATATCTTGAAAAATGTTTACTCGATTCTGTTGACATTCAGCAATATTATTTATTGTAATGAGAGGCTAATTTTTTTATTCCTGTGTAACGGTTTTTTTTTTCCTCGAAAACTAAGTGAGGCACGGAAAAAATACATGAGATGAAGAAGTTGTATTGTATAACAAATATTAAAGTTACGAAAAAGGCAGTGGCGTAGATTGTTTTTGCCAATAATATTCGCTAAGATGCCCCCCGAGGCGGCACTGGGTCTAATAATTTCAATCTATTTGGGGCTAAATAAGCCTCTTAATTCAACAAATAATATTGCCGAATTTCAACAAAATCGAGTGAATATTTTTTAAGAGAGTAATAAAACTATTTTTTTTATATGTACCACCCTGTATCTTGCAAACTCGACATTTCCGGACCCATGCTTATAATAACTTTTTTCAATTTTTTTAACAAACTGTAAAATATATCGGTCTATTTTTAGAACACCCTTAATAGAATACAGATAATATGAATGATGACGTTTCCAACTCATCTTACAAAGACTTTTTAATATCTAGTTTCCTCCTGTCAAACTCAAATTAATGAACGCAATAGACGGCCGATTTGGTTTGGACTGGTCCATCCAAAAGGAGTAAGGTGGAAATGTGCTCCTTTTGTTGACATTAAAAGCCGAAACATTATGTCGGATACTGAAGAAATAAAGGAGAACTACATGAGCTATACTCTATATAAATATACTAAGTGACATATAAATCCGAACACCCAGTTTAAATGGCTTTATTTTAATAAAAGTTGGTGAATGTATTTATCTTACTGTAAATAAGTGAAAAAATTTTCAGCCTTATCAGTTGGACATTCCGGTTTTTATACTGCTTTTTTTTAATTCACTAAGGCTCTAAAAATGAATATTTCAGCCGCAGTAAAGAATCAACATTGGCGGATTTTGGTTCTTGACATCCTTTACGATCGGTTACGATGCCTAGAGTACGGAGACCTGTACGATTTCGTCAACTTAGTGAGTTTGATAGGGGTCATACAGTGGGACTTCGGGAAGCTGGACTTTCTTTTCGGGCAATTGCAGTTAGAGTGCAAAGAAGTGTAGACACTGTGGTTAGGTGTTGTCAGGCATGGCTTCGAGAAGGCCGTACGCAAAGAGCAAGGGGCACTGGACGCCGCCGTAGAAGGACAGACCGTGAAGATCGCCGCCTAAGATTATTATTGGCCTCAAGGGACCGTTTCTCCACTACCAGGTCCATTGCAAATGAATGGTTTGCAGAATACGGAAGACCTATTGACATGCGAAGTGTTTACCGACGAATGAGAAGTTTTGGCTTGTTTTCATACCGGCCACTCTGGGTCCTCCCTTTAACTCGAGAACACCGACGTAATCGCCTTGAGTGGTGCAGACAACGGTCACTCTGGGATCAGGAATGGAACAGTATTGTCTTTAGTGACGAGTTTCGATTTTGTTTAGGCATGCACGATGGTCGTGCCAGGGTTAGAAGGCGACGTGGTGAAAGGAGGAATCCACAGTTTTTTGTTGAAAGACATATTCATCACACTGTTGGAGTTATGGTTTGGGGTGCTGCAGCTTATGGTTCCAGGTCACCTTTAATCTTCATCAGAGGTAACATGAACGCGCAGCGTTATATCCACGAAGTTCTAGAACCTCATCTTTTACCCTATCTTGACACCCTGGCAGATCCAACTTTCCAACAAGATAATACCCGACCACATGTTGCAAGAGTCACAATAGACTTCTTTCAACATAATGACGTCACATTGTTACCATGGCCACCAAGATCTCCCGACTTATCCCCAATTGAGCACGTGTGGGATATGATGGGTAGGAGATTGCTCAATTTGCAACGTCCTCCTCAGACTCTAGAAGCACTTCGAGAGGAGTTGGTGGTTGCCTGGAATGAGATACCACAGGAGGACATTGACCACCTGATCAGAAGCATGCCTAGGCGCGCTGGAGAATGCGTAGCACATCAGGGTGCATCCACACATTATTAAAGGTCAAAGGGCTTTAAAGCAGTGCAATCATTTTGAAATTTTTATCATTTACTTATTATGCTTCATTAAGTACTTATACAAAATTTTATTAAAATAAAACCATTTAAACTGGGTGTTCGGATTTATATGTCACTTAGTATATATATATATATAAATAATTATTTCTCAATCGTTTTAGAATATATTTTATACTTGAACCACCACGTAGGCCTGAGGCCTGAGCACCCATAGGTATCGTGGGGCTATAGAGGGAAACAGGGGAAAGGGGGGAACAGTCAGAGACCGTCTACCACCCAGGGTTGAGCAGTTTGTGGATATACAGTTACTGAATGTTACATGTCCAGGGGGTATGTAACGCATCGTATGTGTCAGTTGATGCGTTAAGTACACTTTGGAAGCATTCAGAATTGTAGTCATACATTTTTTGAGAAAAAAGGAACAAAATCATAGCTTGACATACAAAAGTAGCAAATCGATTCCTGTTCAACTTAATACAATGTCAAGTAACATTTATTGACTTGTTCAAAGCTGGTGATGTGACGAGGATTAGTGTCTATTATACAGTGAAAACAAATATAGCACTTTGGCGCGATCAAAAATGGGAACCTCCATATCGGAGCCAAGAATGAGCAACGCAGCGTGTTTATCTTGCAGAAACATAATGTTTAGAGATTCACACTGTACTGTTTTTAACATATGAGCTATTATGCAAGTACTGAAAATGAAAGTTTTTTATGACACATTCATCGTGTAGATTGAAAGGTAGCAAGATGCGCATACTGGTTGTTACTGAAAAACGTGGGGGAGTGATGCCAGAGATTCTTTACGAAGAAAATGCATGTCTCTTGATAGTTATCATGGCAATACAGGATGTCCGCAAAGTTGGGGTTTTCCTTTTCAGAAACAACTACCCTTGAAATAACAAAGGTAATGTGTAGTGAAACGAGGGCGACCAAGTAAAAAAAAAATAAAGGAAAAATTACTCACTCTCCAGTTGACGAGAAGGGCTAAGTACGTCTCTGCCCGAAATCATACCGCTCCAACAGAAAATGAAATCAGCTGATGCGCTACCGAGCAGACGCAGAAACCACATTGATTGTCTTACACTTAATGGCACATCTTCTAACAAGGAAGGCAAAATGTTGCGTAAAAAGTCTAGGTATTGCATCCCGTCCAATCGATTTGAGAGAATTAATGGTCCAATGAGCATACCGTTTACCATGCCAGCCCAAACATTCACCGAAAATGTTTGTTGAAAATGTGCCCGACGGACAGCGTGCGGATTTTCTACTGACCAAACATGAGTGTTGCGAAAGTTATTCGCCCCATTACGCGTGAATGTAGATTCGCCTGTCACCAATATGCACTTCAAAAAGGCCGGATTATTGTCATGTTGATGCAACAACCACTCACAAAACCGCACTCTTGCTGGAAAATCCTCAGGTTGAAGGGCTTGTACACGTTGGACGTGAAACGGATACAGCCCCTCTTCACGCAGCGTTTGCCACACTTTAGTTTTTGATACTTGCCCTTCTCTAGCCACGTCTCTAGTGCTTGTTGAGGGATTCTCGTCTACGCGATTACCTCTACACGCGTGATCGTAACTGTCGGTTGAAGGTTGCATACTGACCTGACACACTGACCCCGACCCAGTTCTGTTGTCGGGTTGAGCCAGTGACATTGTACCAGTCGGTGATGTCGCGGCTACAGGACGGTATTCAGATATTTTTGATGTTGCAGAGCCCTTTATCTCGGTTCTCTTAAGACATGGGTGTATATGGTACTAAGAAAAATTGCTTATGTTTTCAAGATCTACACGTCGTGTAAAGGAAAACCCCAATTTTGCGGAAACCCTGTATATTGCATATATGTGTAGGCAAGGCAAAAAAAATTAAAAGTACCACAGGTGATATTCTCTAACCTCTAAAAACTATAGCATGTGTTGCCAAATGGTAATTCATATCTTAGTTATTTGTCAGTGTTGTATCTAAAATATCTAGTAAACGTTCGCCAAATTACTGGGTTTTTTATTGTGACTGTGCATAACAATCCTTTTATAGAAATTCTTTGACTGCACCAACGTATATTATTTAATACAACCCTATTTTATAAATATATAGAACCAACATGCATTAAACTTCAGTATCTAATATCTCAGAAAAGTTGATTCTTATCACGGTATTCGTCAAGTTCAGGACCGTATTTAGAACTAAGCTGGTGGACAGTGGCTTCGCAACAAGGAAAATTTTACCCAAATTCAAATATCGATATTTTGGGAACGGAAATAAATATCAAGTTGCGATATTCGGGAGGTTCAAACCAACTTTTTGAAAACACGTACAGGGTTCGGCCGGTATATTTCTTTTATTTATCCACTTATACAGGGTGAGCAAAGGAAGTCAGGTTTTCTTAGCAAAGTTTGGGGGTATGTAAGATTCTCAATTTTTGATCTTGGAAATTTGTCTATGCATCTTTTTGATCTTTGGACTATCCTAACAAAAATTAATTTCTGAAATTGTTCGAAAGTTGGCTATAACTCAAATGATACATTTATCGATAAAGAAGGGATTTTTAGGGGGTTTCTCTTGAGAATGTAGATTTTTTCTCATACTTTTGCATAAGGTGAAGGAAAAAAGAATCAAGCGTTCATTGAGCCTTATAACCTCCAGTAGCGTGTATTAAAAATTTGCTACCTTGATATTATGTAATTTAAACCGAATTTATAAATTTTACTATGCAATTAAACAGCTTAATCAACAAACGGCTCAATGAACAAATCCAAGTTAATATTGGGGTGTATTCTAGTGGCGTAACACCAAAAGCATTTTTTTGGTTTGGTAAGAATAACTCAAAAAGTTTTCTCCAGAATGCATATGATGCTGGCCACCATCTTTCATCTAAAATTTTGTATCTGACTCATTGAGCATTGTGTACGCGTCTTCATTTGAGATGTTTTCCAATAGGTAATAGACTCTATTAAATTATTAAATAACATCAAAGGGTTTATTGATTAACATTAATGATATGTAACAGTTTAGAAAACAAAAATTTGAAGTCCCGTTAAACACCAAAATTATTTACTTATGGCAAAAATGAACCAAAGAGCAACAGTTATTTTAAATAGTATTGTTAGTATCTTGTGGGGCCACTCCGCACATCTATCAAAGCCTGGCATCTTCCTGGCATTCTTTCCAGAAGGTTATTAATAACTACTCGGGATACGTTTCCACACTCTTCCTGAATGGCCTCCATTATTTCAGGAACATTTTGTCTTGACCGCACTTAAAATTTTAGCCGAGACCACACATGCTCAATTATGTAGGAGTCTGGAGTCTTTGATGGCAGAGGCAATAATATAACATTATTTTCTGCCAAAAAGCTCATAACTGAACGGGCTCTGTGAGGCCTGGCGTTAGCATCGATGAAGACAAATTCCTTCCCAAAATCTTGTGCAAAAGGAACACCAATATTCGTTAAAATGATTGGGCGCTGTTCTTCCACTGTGCCTCCGTAAGTTTTCATTCAAGGTTCTGGATGAAGGGGTCCTCCTTCGCCTTACCTGCTGCGGCCCGACCTCGTATTTTTTTGGATTACCTTAAAAGGTATATTGAGGACCGACCAACATTATAAATCAAAGCCACATCTTTCACTAAACGACCTGCTCCCAATAATCTTATACAATTCTCTCGTTCTTTCTGAAAAATACGAGACATTTTTGTGAAGATAAAATTACATTGTCAAGTCTACAGTCAATATGATTCTTACTTAGCAACTGCATGTATGCAGTGTATTTAGTTAGGACGAAACCGGAAAGACATCCTGTTTGCATGGACAGGGTAATCCAAAAAAAAAATACGAGAACGAGCTGAAGGGCATTTATTGCGGGAAGTTAAGAATTCAATAATTTGAGTTATAGCCAACTTACGAAAAATTTGAGATATCACTTTTTTATTATAGTCCAAATATCAAAAAATGCATCAAAAATTGAGAATCTAACATAGCCCCAAACTTTGCTAGAAAAACATGACTTCATCTACTCATTCTGTATAAGTGTATAAATAATAGAAATACACCGGTCGAGCCATGTATTATATGTTCTCAGAGTTGGTCAAAAAGAGATTTTCCACGTTGCAAAGCAATTGTTCACCAGTTTATTTACATCCAACACCAATGAAAAATTATTTTTACATTCTTTCACCGGCTGGGAATAGAGCAGATGTGACTCGCTGATAGCAATTCACCTCAGACTTCAAAACGTAACTGATACTCGTAAAATAGGTTGTACTTGAGTATGCTTTGAATTATGTGCAAGCAACAGAGCAACTGAATTCGTATAAAAATTAGAACAATAAACAATGATTTAGTAATATTCAAACAGCTGGACTGTTCAACTATATGTTATTGGGTAACCACAAAGATTATACTAGATTACTTGCTGCACCTTCCTTCTCAGCACCTGCTAACCTCCCTGTCATCTCTATGTCAAAACGAACTAACCACTTGCTCCAGACATTCAGTGACGAATCTATCCCTTCCATTTTCAGCCAAGTTGAGTAAATCACTGAGCTTACTCAGTGCTTGTATTGAGAACCGGTGTCCAATAAGCGTGGTTGCTACTTTAACTTTATCACAAGGTTCCTCAGGGATAAGCTTCAGTTTCACACCTGCGATGTTGCCTTTTTCTACAGTCATCGTCACCAGCATGTTTTGGCGTTTGCCATTCGTTAAATGCGTAGGAACTTCGAAGGATTTTGTGACAACAAAGTCTGGGGTTCTGCCGTAGAGCCAGTTCCAGCTCATGAAGTCTTCTCGAATATTGTCGAGCCCTGGAAACAAAGATTCCGTGGGGTTGGTCATTTGGAATCCTTTTTGTTGATTGGCCAACTCCATTCCACCATCAGTAATTGTTAATGCTGGCGTTCTCAAATATTCCCAGCCGATTGCTTCTATCAAACTGGTAATATCGATATCAGGAACTTCTTCACATAGGTTCATTATCTTGGATATCACTGATCTTGAAGCTTTTGTATTGACCTCGATATTCTGCTTTTGGAGAGCTAGACTCAAATCTTGTTTATTTGAGTTGACGAGGAGGGTACAGTGATGATAGGCATTAGGCCTTCCTAGTCTGGAAGCACTACCAGAAATTTTATAATTTCTTATCATCAAATCTTCCCTCGGTGAGATTTCCACTGTAGCATTATACTTCCTGAAAAGCGCCCGAGCGATAACTTCTAGGTTATATTTTCTACTGTACCTCTCCTTTGTTGTGAAGAATGTAAGATTCAGGTTGCCATGGTCATGATAGACTGTACCACCACCACTATTGCGTCTTGCTAGCTTCACCCCATTCTTCGTGATGTGAGGCAACTCAGGCAAATTTGCTTCAAGCCAAGGGTTCTGATGACGTCCGATAACAACACAGGGATCACTTTGCCACAGAATGAGAATGTGATGGTTTTTGAAATCAAAGTTCTTATACAACCAGTCTTCAAGAGCGAGGTTTGTGAAGATATCTTTGGATTGCGAAAGGAACACTGATTTTTTAATGTCTGAATATCTTCCAACACTAACACGGGAGACAAGATGCCTAATTTTGCAGAGGAAACACTGTGTGGATGCCATTGTTTATAGTTTTTGTTTTCTCTCGCAGCACCTGTTTTGTAGATGTTGTGCCTGTTGAACCTATCTCTTACCGCTTTAGTAGGGCTGTGGGGTGAGCGTTCTTACAAGTTGCTGACTGGAAGATCGTGGCGAGTGATGCTCCGGTGCAAGAAGTTTAGATGGACACGCAATGCTAGACAGTCTTTAGTTGTTTTCAGCATTCTTCTCTTTGCTGTCAGGATATCCAGAAACTAAATAAGAACGGGTCAGCAAGGATATTGCACCAGACAGGCGTTTTATATGAAACATCATATCTTCCAGGCTTTTATCACTGCAGCGGTCATATCTCAATGTTCTATAGGCCACAGTTTATGATTCATCGGAGCAGCAAGTAAAGCAATCCTATCAAGAACCTAATTTTGAACTCAATATTCTGAGATATAAAGTTCAGTTGTCAAACTGACAACGAAATGGACAAGATACATTTTTGACATGACACTGTTTTCTACCTAGGTACAGGGCATGAAAACATGGGATAGAAAAATAAACTGATGAAGTGAGGGTGGAGCAAAAGATGTCGACGATGTAGTGAGTCGGTACACTGTGCAGCAAAGGAATTTAAGGTGGAGCGCATAGGGTAGCTCTCTCGGGTGTACACTGTACACTGTGCAAAAAATGAATTTCAGGTTCTGCGCATGTGGTATCTCTCTGTTGCTGTCGTCACAACTGGTAACAAGGGCGGATCCAGCATTTACGTCAGAGGAGGTCACAGGATTTTGTTCAGGAAAATATTCGTCTCGAGGGGGGGAGGATGCGACTGAAAATTGAATAGTGGGGAGGTAACAGTAAAAAACTAATTATTCTTTTTTGTCTTCTTGCAAATCGATTTATGATTACTTCTTCAGTATCGACATGTACAGGGTGGCCATTTCTCTGAATTCCTCTATAATAGCATAGCAAAAAGTTACCTATATCATTAAAGTCGAGGATGATGAACTTTTTTGTTTGACAATTTTTGCTGAGCATCTAAAAATAAAGTGGTAGGATGTATTCAAATGCTACCGTAAGAACACCCCGTATCTTCAATTCATAAATTTAAGGTTAGGAACAAGATATCAAGGTTCGGTTTTCGCGAGCTTATTTAAACATCATTTAGCTACTTTTTCATAAAAAAATTATACCAATGCATTTAATTTTTTTGAGGAAATTAACCATTTAAAACAAACAAATAATATAACATTTGTAGCAAAAGAATAGGTCTCTTTTTTAAGAAAACCTTTGAATACCCTCACCATTTTATTTTCAGAGATACAGCAAAAATTGTCAAACAAAAAAGGCCCATATTATCCTCGAATTCAAAGATTATGAATGTTTTGTTAGGTTTATATACCGGAATTCACTTTTCTAGATTCAAGATTGCGGTTACGCCCCTAGCGGCCATTTCAGGAACCTGGAATTGTTTTCCAGGTTATTGTCTTGGCCGGTTTAGGGAGAATTATTTTTGCCGCAAGCCTCTACGATGGATAGGTAGATACTTTCACTTTTATATTCTTTATATACTAAGTGACATATAAATCCGAACACCCAGTTTAAATGGTTCTTTTTTAATAAAATTTTGTATAAGTACTTAATGCAGCATAATAAGTAAATGATAAAAATTTCAAAATGATTGCACTGCTTTAAAGCCCTTTGACCTTTAATAATGTGTGGATGCACCCTGATGTGCTACGCATTCTCCAACGCGCCTAGGCATGCTTCTGATCAGGTGGTCAATGTCCTCCTGTGGTATCTCATTCCAGGCAACCACCAACTCCTCTCGAAGTGCTTCTAGAGTCTGAGGAGGACGTTGCAAATTGAGCAATCTCCTACCCATCATATCCCACACGGGCTCAATTGGGGATAAGTCGGGAGATCTTGGTGGCCATGGTAACAATGTGACATCATTATGTTGAAAGAAGTCTACTGTGACTCTTGCAACATGTGGTCGGGCATTATCTTGTTGGAAAGTTGGATCTGCCAGGGTGTCAAGATAGGGTAAAAGATGGGGTTCTAGAACTTCGTGGATATAACGCTGCGCGTTCATGTTACCTCTGATGAAGATTAAAGGTGACCTGGAACCATAAGCTATAGCACCCCAAACCATAACTCCAACAGTGTGATGAACATGTCTTTCAACAAAAAACTGTGGATTCCTCGTTTCACCACGTCACCTTCTAACCCTGCCACGACCATCGTGCATGCCTAAACAAAATCGAGACTCGTCACTAAAGACAATACTGTTCCATTCCTGATCCCAGAGTGACCGTTGTCTGCACCACTCAAGGCGATTACGTCGGTGTTCTCGAGTTAAAGGGAGGACCCAGTGTGGCCGGTATGAAAACAAGCAAAAACTTCTCATTCGTCGGTAAACACTTCGCATGCCAATAGGTCTTCCGTGTTCTGCAAACCATTCATTTGCAATGGACCTGGTAGTGGAGAAACAGTCCCTTAAGGCCAATAATCTTAGGCAGCGATCTTCACAGTCTGTTGTTCTACGGCTGCGTCCAGTGCCCCTTGCTCTTTGCGTACGGCCTGACAACACCTAACCACAGTGTCTACACTTCTTTGCACTCTAACTGCAATTGCCCGAAAAGAAAGTCCAGCTTCCCGAAGTCCCACTATACGGCCCCTATCAAACTCACTAAGTTGACGAAATCGTGCAGGTCTCCGTACTCTAGGCATCGTAACCGATCGTAAAGGATGTCAAGAACCAAAATCCGCCAACTTTGATTTTTTACTGCGGCTGAAATATTCATTTTTAGAGCGTTAGTGAATTAAAAAAAAGCAGTATAAAAACCGGAATGTCCAACTGATAAGGCTGAAAATTTTTTCACTTGTTATTTACAGTAAGATAAATACATTCACCAACTTTTATTAAAATAAAACCATTTAAACTGGGTGTTCGGATTTATATGTCACTTAGTATACATTTGTTATCTTTAATTTTTAAAAAATATCTAGGACTCAATCATAAGTTGTTTCGCCAGTGCTTGAGTGAGCGATTACGGCCATTATGGCAAATCAGACAAAAAATTGAATTATGTATTGCCTCACGCAAGGCTTCTCTTTCATGACAGTGCTTTAATTTGTTTGTTGCTCCTGTACTGGCAACAAATTATAGCTAATCTGTATTTTTGAAAGGTAAATTATTAAGAAAAAATCTTCGGAAGAACAACCATACAATTTGATTGTACGCCCTACTGAAAAAACTCTTGCGACTTCGCGACCCACAAAACGGATTATATGGCATGTTGAGTGGCCCATTTTGTGCCTTTTTAGTAATTAAACATTAAAATGCCTTAAATGACCTTTATTCTAGCTATTTTGATCTGATCCCGCTTATCATGTAGTCCTAAAAGGTCGCAAAACTATGCGTTTTTTGCGACTTTAGGGTGGTAAGAATCCATTTTCACTATCGATGGCTACATGTGAGCGTACTTCTGTTCAATAAGATAGCTCGGGTCTCTGAACGTAAATATCATAGTGAACTAATTCTAGTATCATCGGACCGGATTTGGGGTGAAAAATTTGGAAAAAACTATTAATTAAACCTAAGAATCCTAGTACTGAATTGACATCTTGTTCGGAATCTATGCACCCAATTTACCTAGAAATCTATATCAGAGACGCACCACAGTTTTTAGATATTTTTTGATTAGTCTATTTTTGACAAAATTGAATTCTTGCCAGTATCTCGACAACCAAACATTTGGTGCATATGGTAAGCTGCAAGTTTGTTATAAAATAGATGGTTACACGAAGATCAGGGACCAAAGATCGTCAGCAGCTGTCGCATCTGGATGTAATTTGTAACCTTGGTGTTTTGTTTTTATTTTTTACCTATGAAGAGAAATTATGCTTCTCAATAGGTCAATAATAGAGATTTCTTGAGTTAGTAGTAAAAAAATATATTAACCTTTCAGGCAACCGAATAAAGGAAATCAAGGAAGGAGTATTCGAGGATTTACCTGTATCGATGTTGGATCTTAGTCACAACCTTTTGACAACTATTGACAGCTATGCATTTGACGGAGTGCCTCTCTTGGTCAGTCTCGATCTAGAAGCTAACCAAATAAGCACCTGGAATCGAAGGTAATGCAAAGTCCAATAGTCTCCTCTCTCTCTCTCTCTCTCTTAGAATATTCCTCGCTCCTTGCGAAAGACATAGGGAAGTCACTGTAGATGTGACGGTACGTGAAGAACATTAAAATTCTACTTATGCAGCCAAATTGAGGTTAAAGAACGGCATTTATATCAATCATGTGCATAACACCAGTTTGATATGCTTTTATTTTACGTACAATGTGATGAAAGAGGAGATGCGTGAGAGTTATTGCAAATTTAAATCTCCGGCAATGTGGCAGACCAGCTTTCATAGACTTGAAGATCTTGAGGGTCCGTAGCATCTTTATCTTAGAGTATCTGATATATTTTAAAAAGGGCTGAGTATACAACACCAGGTGAAACAAACAGATAACCAGAACTCACAGTGATGTAGTTCCAGAATCAACGAGACTTGCAGAAACTAGATACATAGCCAATTACTATGGAGTAAAACTTCATATCAGCCAGTTGCTGAATACAAAATGAAATAAATTTTAAGAGGGCTGTGACAACCTAAGTATTTTATAGCATGACTGAATTTTACTGATATGCTTTCATAGCTGTTAAGACATTTTGCTGTCTTTTCCTCATTTTTTATTTGTTTATCCTACAAACTTTAAAATGTTGGTGATGTATATATAAATAAGTAGTAGGACAACATCGATTCTAACTCATTTGGTAACCCATCCATTAGGTTCTGTTAATTTGCCCTCTATTTGACCTTGGGTATCTGAAGACTTTGCAGACATGCAAGAAGTGTATCGCCAATGACGATAGGGTGAGATGTGCCAAAACGTGACGTCATGTATGTAGAAAAAAAGGTCTAAATACCATGTGACACACAAAAGTGAGTAGTGACTAGGAAGAGCTTTATGCATATGCAAGAGACAAGCCTCGCCTAGACAAGCCTAATTTCAATCATCCTCTAATAATAATAATATGTGAAGAGAAATAAATGAAACGACGGCGGTAGTGTGATATTGTATTCATTCCAATTTTTGGTTTGAAGCATTAGATATAAGATTCCAATTAAATAATAAATGAACATTTTCTAAAGCACAATGCATATTATTATACAAATGTTTATAACAATGTTTGTATTGGAATATCTTCTTCAGCTTGCGAAGATTTGGGCATCCTATTTCATGTAGATCGGTGATGTGATCAGTGATGAGTCTTCCCAACCATTGTTGTTTTGAACGTCCCTTGACAAAAATAGGTTCATCGTGCACATTTTCTTTAATGAACGATGTCAATTGTTCATAATGAAGACATGACTCTTCAGAAGGAGATAGATCTCAAGGAATTCCATGTAAATTGTTTACAGTCCAGTTGATATGTGACTGTGTGCTACTGTTGAGCATTGTAAATTCTACAGGTAGATTAACTAATTGGTGGTGGTGGCGGTGGTGAGGTACCAGGTACCGTGCTGGTATTATTTTGAACTTTAGATTCGATACTTCTCAAATGTTTTGTAATGGGATTGTACAAGGCTTTTTGTAACATTTCTCCATGTTACAGTTGATATAATTTTCTTCGAACATTTTGACGCTTCAATATAAGTCTTTCTTTGAGACTACTTCCAGTTAAAAGTTTGCCCATTATCTTCATTCTATCATTAGGTGCTAATCGGACTTCGATCAGGTGGTGAACGGCTTGTGATCAGGTGATGATCAGGTTTTCATCAGTTGTTCTGAACGCATCGGATGAGAATTATCCATATAAATTGATCTATACCCTTTCTATATCGACCGTTGTCAATGTTACAGTCTTTAAATATGGCTAAAAAATCATATGAATTTTCCCAACATACAATGCATATACGTTTAAAATTATCAAATGACATATCTGAACCAACATGATCATTATATATATATATATATATATATATATATATATATATATATGTGATTTTCCACACCTGACTGTCTCAAACGCTATTTCCTTGTGAACCTGATTCCAGCAATAAATTTGTTTTCGAGTAAAAATTAACTATTTTATGATTTTTTTAAAACCGTCCATCCTCTCTGCCGCACCCTGTACTATTTATCTTTTGTTCGCTCTCTTTCTCTCTCTCTCTCTCTCTCTACACTGTTTTACTATTGCCATTGTGTTATTATTATTGCTGTCCTTCCGCACATTTTGGTAATGTTGTGGGTGGATCATGTTTGAAGACACTCTAAAGCATCCCAAAAGAAATAAAACAATCTCCTGGTCTGCCAGTAGATATCAAGTTCTATTCATATCCGCGGAGCTAAATTATGTTAAGTCACAAAAGTATTATTGCGATAAAAATGAGTGTACAGTTTTTTTTGTATGGTTTTATTTGATTGCTGAAAAAGCAAAAGCACGATTTGCAATTGGAGATTTAAATCAGATATTCGACAATAGTTTTTTTTTCAACAGATACGGTGTCAGAGACATCAAAGCAAGTGGCGGCAAAATATTTGTCAAATTGACCTACTCCCCAAGAGCAGCGACGTTAAAGCGACAATTCGGCTTGCTGCCTATCAAATATCTCCGAACTAAATTAGATAAAGATGCAGAATTCCAAGTATTAGAGCGAATAGTTAAAAAATATAGATTCAATTTATTAGACGAGCAGTTAGAAGATATTAGTAGGCAGCAAGCGATACAGGATCGACCAGGGACAAGTGGTGGTGGTGGGGGTGCAAGTATGCAGAAGAAGAGAAAGTTGTATCTAGAACCACCTGTCCTGCAACATGTGGAAGAGGAGGAGAAGGAGGAGGAGGAGGAAGAGCATGTTATTCACAGAAAAAAAAACACACACACACACACACTGTGTCCATTCAATACAAGTTCAACATATTTTTCAAAAAACTTTTACAGTACTATTTAATGGATTATATTTTACAAGACAATCATGTAATATCAGACAAAAGGTGGTATATTTACTGCCGTTTCAAATTCCAATCTAATATCAACAGAACCCGATTTTAGTGTCTCGTTTTGCCTACTACAGTCAATAACAAAAAGCGAGGTTGCATCAATGAACTGTTTCAAGTTTTGACACGGCTCACTGGAATTTCTATAATAATAAGACTGCTGAAAGTTCACACACATTTCATACAAGATACTAAAATAATTTCTGTTCATATTAAAAGTTACATTGTCATATGGATAAATTTCAGAATTCAAAAATAATATGTTGCTCAGGTTACAGTGATCAAAGTGACTCAAGTGTTTAGTCAGCTGTCCTTTCCGATCAGTTTGAACAGCAACAATAACGAAACGTGGCTTTTCCAATTGATTGGTAGCCCTGACATTCCATGTATGTTTATTTGTCTGTTGTAAAACGGGGTACTCATGCAACTCCCAACTCCTGAAAGCTAGTTGTAAGTCCCTTCCTTTCTCTATGTACTTCATAAGGTGTAATTCTTCAGTATCTGCAACTTGAATGTGTGTAATTCTCCATAGTATTCTGTACAGATCTAAACGAGGTTTCTCGCCAGGTGTTGTCGTTACAATTGCATTCACATCCGTGGAGCTTCTTATAAGGACCAATTCCTGTCTAATGTTGACTAGTACTTTTTAAAGTCTTCAAAAAACCCATGAGATTCTTCAGTGAAATCGTTACACTAAAATAACCTTCACTGTTCCGTATTTCGGGTAATTCTTGATGATTCCAGCCTGCATGTTGGTAACTATTACCTTCATTGTTTGTGAAAGATACCAGTCCATTAACGGTGCTTGTTATACCAGGATTGCGAACTCTATCAACAACTATACCTCCAATTTCATATCTTAATTCATCAAATAAAAATGACACAAAATTATTGACAAGACACAATGTTGGTGACCATTTCTTCTCCTTTGCCTCTACTAATCTTCCTTCAATGTACAGTGAGCTATTACAAGGTAGTGTATAGATATCTTGTGTTTGTATTGGTATTCTTATTTCATCTGAATTATTGAAAGTTGTATTAGCGTATGGTGGATGGCTATGCATTTCACAATTGGTAATTGAATTATCCATAAGAATATTTTCACCTATGTTGAGAATATTAAAGTTCAGAGTAGAGTGCTGATTTTATGCGAAGTATCAATTCAGCAGTGCTGGTGTTGCTGCTGCTGCTGCTGCTATTACTATCACTATTGACCGTTTGTTCTTGATATGCGTCAGCCACACTTATGCAATCACCTTAAAGCCAAGCCACTGTAGAAATTGTATATTTTCGGATGTTAATGCCTTGCTTCCTTGTTTACTACTAACTGTTTTACCAGCATGAATTTGTTTATTAATAGTTGGGGTTGATCTATTTTGACCTTTATTCTTGTTGTTGTTGTTGTCGCTGTTAGCTGAGCTCAACGGTACTACAATGTTATAAAGGAATACCAAACTAAAGTTCTTTTAAATGTACTCTTATCGTTATCACTTCTCCTTTAAAATTAACCAAATTTCCGTCTTGATCCACTACTTTAAGCACTATTTCATCAATGTAATGGCTATTTATTGGTAGATAAATGATATTTGATACTTTTTCTATTATGAGAGATCGACTAGGTACGTTAGGGTAGAACGTATGCAGCGTGTGAACAGCATGATCATTTATAAAAGAATTCGTTATCAGATTACATTCCACACATATAGACTTCACTTTGGAAAAATTTATAGGAAAATCTGAGATGTGTAGTTTATGTGGACTCAATTTTCTCTTACTAAACCCTAATAACTCACTTATTGTACCATCTTGCTCAAAATCGATGAGTCGGTTAATTTTAATTTCAAACCATAACGTATTTAAATTAGTTCGCATGTAATGTTGTGTGTCAGGCTGTTTATCATCTTTGACAATTGCATTTGAACTTAGAGATGGTTTTTATTTTTGTTGTGGTTGTTGTTGTTGTTGTTGTTGTTGTGGTGGGGACATCCTCCTTTTTTTATTTTGTTCACCTACCCGTGGTTTGATTCTCTCTTTAATAAATTCTATAGTGTCTTTGATTTCATAGCTACCTTCAGGTACTGTTACAACCTGATCATCAATATGAAACTTATTATTTGTTATATCTATGTTGGGTATTGTGTTTAAAGTTAAAAAATCAATAGGACCTAAAGCGTACGTTTTACTATTGTCGAGTACTATAGGTGAATAGATTTTAGCTGATAACACAGACTCTCTACCAGATAAGGTAAATGTATACATTATATGAACCGATCAATGGTCGTGAATGAAATAAACAAGTGTTATTATGGTAACCAGTATTTATTCACTTTTCAGAAAACGTAAACACAATTGACCACAATCTACAGTATTAAATCTTTGAAATACATTATAATTGTACTGTATTCTACAGGGTCTACTACAATTAAAATATACAATTGCTTCCAGTGGTGGTTCTAAGTTTCCATATGTATCTAGGTAAACCACCAACTTTCTCTTTTTCTTATCTGCAGTCCAGTGAGTACCTGGGCCAGTACATGTATCTAAATTAATAATTCCTCTTTCATTGGTTTTTATTTTTTTGGGAAGTTTATCTCGCATGAAAACTCCTCGAAAATATGGTATTTTTAATCGTTTTGCATACTTTTCCAGTTCAAAGTTTGTTATCGGGTGACTATTTGGAAATGAATTTTTTTTAACTACTTGTTTTTTCTTTTTCAGGGACATTTTCTTTTCTCTCGCAACTGGTTTCAGTTAGTGTATGGTTTCAGGAAAAGACCCATTCCCGTTTTATAGGGTTTCAACAACATTCCCTTTCCAAGTGCTACAGCTTCGATCATTTTATTATGACGTTGAGATTTTTGTAATTGCTGCTTCGCGGATTTTGCATCATTGACAGCCTTAACAATACCAGCACCGCCAGACAAAGCTCCAAGTGCTGATAAGCCAGCAAAAATTGGGATTAGTGGCAGTATACCTCCTTTCTTCGGTATCTTCACTATACGATTTGGCGGCTTTTTTGCACCTTTTTTCAAATGTTGTGCCTCCCTCAAAGCTACAAGTATTGCTTCTCCAAAGGTAGTAGGTTTTTGATCTACCACACGTTTCCCTATTTGTTTAATTGCGCTAGAAAAGCTAACCTTCCTTCTTTTTATTTTACTGCTCGATATACTTTTCGTTTTCCTCTTAGTCTTTATCTTTTTTTTCTGACGCTGTGATCGTTCTTGTTGTTGGTGGTGAATTGTAACTCTTTCCTTAGGATTAACATTCTTCTTACGTATCATTTTCATTACTGAATTTGGATGTGTAGATTACTAGGTATTTATAACTTTAACTTTCCTAGGTATGTTACTATCATCATCATCATCATTATCATTATTATCATTATCTAGTTGACTCTTCCGTTTTCTATTTTTTTGTTTCCATGGATGTGGAATTACGTCACTCATATCTAACTAACGTTTTGTACTGCATTTTTTCTCAGGAATTATAATTGGATCATCCAAATCTATTTTTCTTTTTTTCACTTTTTCATCATTCAATCAAGTAGTAGTAAAGGCTCTTTTTTGGTTTGTTCTTTTGCCCTTCTTCTGTTATATCAGTGTCCATGTATTCAATTGGAGTCTTTGGTTTTTTCTTCTCTTGATTTTTTCATTTATGCCTTCTAAAACAGACTTTGGTTTGCTGCCACGTTCCTTCTCTTCAACATAAGGTTTTGTTTTTCGTTCACGCTTTACTTTGAATGTTTCATGTCTTACTACAGAGTTTTTTTTGGTTTCGTGTTTCTTGATTTCTCTCACTTCTCGTACTTTTTTCTCACTAGATTTACTTTTCTCCTTATCCTTCGCAAGTATATTTTTTTGAGCTTTTTGAGATTGTTCAGTTTGTAGGATCTGTCCAGAGTCTTGAACCAGTTTTTGGGACCCCTGTAATTCTTTCGCTAATTTATGTGCCTTTGAGAGGTTTCTTTAAGCCCATTCCAAGTTTTACTTTAGCTTTCATAGCACCTGCTACAGCTAATGCGGCGACCTTTTCCTTCCAAGACGAATCACTTGCACGAAACCTATTCACTGCTTGTTTTGCCAGCACCTTATTAGCCAAATGCCGATTACTCAGATCTTTTTCTTTTGAATAAAATATATCGTGTTGTTTACAAGCTTCATCCAGTCCGTTCACACCTGGATCATTTCTGGCTAACCTTTCAGCAAGTTTAGTGCCATGACCACAGTATCTGTACGTTGGGATGTGTAATTCTACAGGTAAATTATTTATAGCTGTATTCAGTAAGCCTTCACCACCGTAGTACTTCATAGCACATGCGTGATAACTGAACTGATATATTTAATCGTTTGCGTTACTAGTTATAATAGTCTAGTTGGTTCATACTGTTAATTAATACGCTGCTAGTATTAGTACATCAAGAAGTCATGCCTTCATATATTTGCGTTTGATGCTGAAAAAATACTGAGTTCACCATCCAAGTGACTCTTCAATACACAAACATACGACAAAGAAAAATGCAATATTGTTCTTTTGTGAAACGTTTACAATTTGGCTGTTAAATGAAGAATAGTAATATTTACCACCCTCCTCCTCCTCCTCCTACCCTTTTGGATAATATAAAAAGACAGTATGATACTTACTATACATATATGTACATATATAACATTCAAAGAAAGAACAAACTCAGAGATGAATTGTCTGGATTTAGTTGAAATTGCTGCTGCTGTTTTAGCCATTCAACTTTTTAACAACGTGTTACCAGAATGAACCAGTTGTAGTTGCTGATCAGATATTCAACCTGTATGAGTTACATAATCAAGGAAGAACAGAATTAAAGTTGTATCCAGCATTCTATTACTCAGGGAAAATAAAGAAATTAAAAATCAATACAATCGAAAAATTGGATATGTAATTGGACAAGATCTGAATTATTATCCAGTCACAATGAAACGAAAAGGTACAATTATATACTGTGGAAGATACAATATAAGGCAGTTGCTTCGACAGGGATACATTATTTTCAATATCAAAACATATTCTATCGACAGTTTCAAAAACAAATTCCATCATTTCGAAGCTTCAGATATAAGTTGTTTTATATACGATTAAATATATTAATATCACACTACCGCCGCCGTTTCATTTATTTCTCTTCCTATATTATTATTACTAGAATTATTATTATGACTAAAGGATGATTGAAATTGGGCTTGGCTAGGCGAGGCTTGTCTCTTGCATATGCATAAAGTTTTTCTCAATCACTACTCACTTTTGTGTGTCACATTGTATTTAGGCCTTTTTTCTGCATACATGACGTCATGTTTTGGCACATCTCACCCTCTGGTCATTGGCGATACACTTCTTGCATGTCTGCAAAGTCTTCAGATACCCAAGGTCAAATATAGGGCAAACTAACAGAACCTGATGGATGGGTTATCAAATGAGTTAGAATCGATGTTGTCCTACTACTTATATATATATATATATATATATATATATATATATATATATATATATATAGTACACGGCTACTATTTTTAAATGTAACTAATGCCTTGACATGTGTACGCACATCTCTATCTAGTTAACGCTAGTAAGTTACTATTATACAATATAGGAAGTATATATAGTTGAGACTGTTCACAAAACAACAAATTGCATTATTTCAAATCTCGAATATTATCCAAATATCTTTTTAAATCTAAATAAAATAATTCATTAAAACCAGTTTCATAGATTCAAGCAAACTGTTTTAGAAATCAGAGTTTAGTTTAACTAATCAAAATTGTTAGCTGTTACATAGTTAATTAAATTTTTCAATACGTCTCATTGAAATTTCAATTAAATGGTTCCATATATTCAAATAAACTGTTCTAGAGGAGTTTAATTGGTTAATTGAACTTGTTAGCTGTCACATGGTTGATTAAAATTTTTTAGTTGACCTAATTAAAAATTTAATTGGTATAGATGAATTTTTTCCTCAGTGTAGCAATCGGGAGATTTACTTGACGCCACTTTATTATCTTCCAGGTGGATCAAAAACAATGTCCTTCTAACCAGACTATACATGCGAGACAACAAACTAAAGTCACTACCCTCTAGCGCTTTTACCAGGCGAGAGACCTTGAACAACACCATTGGTATGACCCTAGATTTCAGTCACAACACCATATCACACGTCGATCCTAGAGCACTAAAGGGCGTGAAGATAATAGACAGACTGCTGTTGAACCACAATCTTTTGGAAACTATCGACGACAATCTTTTCCTCGATGTACAAATCAGGGAACTGAGAGTTGGAAATAATAAAATCGCCTGTCTTGATGGTGATCTGAGCAAGATTTTCAAGCCTGACATTGTCGCCATTGACCCTAACCCGATGAGGTGTGACTGCGTGGAAAAGATCAAAGAATGGTCGAAAGAGAACAAAAAAGATGTTCAAGTGTTTTTGATGGAGATGGAGTGTGTGGCTGATCGAATTAGGAAGAAGACGAAGGCTATAAGTGATCGGTTGAATGAGATAAAAAATATGTAAACAAAATCATGACATTTAGTTTCTTTGATTCAGCAAAAAAATTAATTGTATCATTTGTCATTCATATACAGGCTGATCCGCTTTGGATTGACCCCGTCTTAACCACTCTGCATGACCTTCTAGATAAAACGATATATGGTGTAACATAAAGCTTTTCAGACAACATACTTTTTGTATACAGGATTTCTCAAAAAAGTTCGTATCGAATAAAGTTTTTTAAATAGTACAGGGACCCTGTACATTTTTAGTGCCCTGACAGTGGTTTTTTATTGGGTACATGACTCCGTTGTCCACTGAAAATTAACTGTGGTAGAATAACAGATATGTGGAGAGAAGTGTCAAGTACTTTATTATTTCAAACATGTAACACTCACAAAGTGTACAATATCAGAAGATACGTGTTTAAAGTGTCATTCTTTTCTTCTTTGGATGTAGTTATATATTCGAAATACCATTCGTATTCTTGATTTATCTACAAACTTTATTTGCTCTTCGGGTTTTTCCATAGATAAATCTACAAACTTTTCTCTTCTCCATGTTGGCTGACATTCGGGGTAGTCCCGCTTTATACATTTTTTCCTCAAATCAAATTTTAGAGATCGCGATATTTTTTTATACCGAAGCAGCTGCATAGGCTGAAGCTTAAATGCCGGGGCACATCAGCTGCTATGAGGAGCTTAAACAAACTTTGTTAACCCGACTTTTGAATTGATTGAGATTAGTAGAACTGGGAAAAGCATGAAGATGACAAAGGCGGTCTTATCGGCCTGCTCTGGATAAACGAGTGACGGCACGGTAAGGATATGAGGCCAAAGTCAGGATCTAGCTAGCGGGTCTATCTAGCTAGATCCCAGCCGGCCCGTCGATTGGAAGCATTAAGCTGTACAAGATTGTTGCGTCCCCAAGCAGTGATAACCTCCAGGTCTCTCGTTACACAAGAAGTCGCTGTTGTTACGTAAGCAGATTTATTACAATTATTTACCGCCCCATCCCCCTTATATCTTACTAACATAACAAACTTATTTTAAATTTTTGGTACATATATTAAATTCAAATTAACATGAAACCCGAATCCATGATTCCAAGTTTTCGATGACATTATATTGCTTCAATTTCTGCCCAGTGTTGTGAGTTTGCTCGCTTTCATAGGATTTTGGAATGTCTACGTCGTTCTCATCGAGCCATTCAACATCATGGTGCTCTAAATTTTGAATAATGCACATCAGTTCATTAGCGACTCTTACAGGTGTAACTTTCCTATCAGTGTACGTGTTTACTTTTTTATGGATATTTACGATGTGACGATTTAGTGACTTGACGGAAGCATGATAAAGACCACACGTTTTGCATGTTCGACTTGATAGCCTCAATTTTACCGTCGGACAAAAATAATCGTAGGGTATTTGCAGGAAATCTTTGAGTGAAGCAGTTAAGCGTAGAGCTAATTTGACTGGAAGATCAAGAAATTGCCCTCCTTCATCCAAAACCAAGTCATCAACTGTTTGTTTTACTTTTACAGGTGGTGGAAGAAACCTATTGTCTAGTAATCTAATTAGGCCACTACCTGGACGATAGCATTCTGTATTTCTACATTTTAGAATTTGAAGCAAGTATTGGCTCTCACGCATATGTTCTGAATACCATTTAATGTCTGGAAAATCAGGAAGATCTTGTTCACCTGCTCCAAGATATTTTGCATTAACATTATAGCCATCAATTTCCATTGAACTCCATACTTCAGCTAATTCATTTCCTGCAAATTCGAAATTAGATCTTTCTAAATGATCATCAATTATAACGCCACGTTCATCCAAATGAGACCCAAAATGGTCATAAGGCAATATTAAACCAGCCAGTTTCCGACTAAGAGGAGCCATTCTGCGCTCTACTCTGTTATACGCACTTCTTCCAGGAGGATTGGTAGCTAAAAACAATGCATCGAGATCATGTCGCTTAAAGTGTTGTATAGCAAACCCTATGACTTTTTGATAACGTGGATTTTCATCTGGCCCTCCATCCACCGTCACGATTACCACTGGTTTTACTAGTCCATGGTCAGTTTTAGCTAATGGTCGAAACTCTTCAAGTTCGAGAAGCGTCTCGAAATCCTGAGCATGAGTATTAGCAGTAGATGAACTATGCCTTCCACTTCGAATACCGATGTATGTTGGTCCAGAATATCCAACGGCTTGCGGCTGTCCTAGTATATTGGAAGTGATTTTGATACCAGCATAAACAGATGGTATTAATTTATGACGCTCAGCGATTACCCAATCGAGAACAGGCAATTTGATTCTATATTCCATGTGCATTAGAAGAGGTGCTTGCTTATTTGCCGCAGTTACGCCAATAGAAACTCGAGCTTTATCATCTTGAGATATGAAAAATACTTGATCTGGTCCAAGTATGGATGCTATGTTCTCTAAATAATGGAATGATGTTTCAGCGAACTTGCTATCTAAGTGGCTCTTGTGGTGATCAGTTTGAGCCCGAATGAGCTTAACAGGGACTGTCGATACATGTCTTCGTCCCTCTGCAGAATTAGATTTTCTGGGAATCAAACGAAGACTAATGTCAAATCCTATTTTACGTAACTCTTGTGTGAGTTCATCAAGAGTTTTTATGCTGCGAATTGATTCCGTTCGTCTTCTATCATCTGCTGCACTCCCAAATAAAGCTATTGTTTTCAATAGTGAATGTTGATTGCTTTCAAGATTAGGACGTCCCACTGAATCCCTCAGAGATATTCTTTTTTTTATTTCAGGATTTTCAT